CAGGTGAGACTTAGCTGAAGGCTACGGCATAAGAAACTCAAGCAAAAAGTGGTTTTTAGCACCTATATACATTTGATTCTTTAAGCCACACAGTGACTGGACTAAAATGATGGGCCTTCATATCTATTCTGAACTGGACAGAGGAGCAGTGGCAAAATCCTGAACTATCTCAGTGAGAGAAGTCTGGGATTCTTCGGTCATGGAGAAACTTCGATCAAAGCAATGCAAAAGTAATATTTGAGTTTCCTGAAAGCATTTCCAGAGATTCACAGAATTGGCAGGTTGTAAGGGTAATAAGGTAATAGTATACTCATATTTCTTAATGAAACACAGACTCAATCCTGCTGGAACGGTTGTAGTGCATTTTAAAAGTCTTTAATTAGCAATTGGAAGTTAAAGACAGGTCACAGGACAGAATCCTCCAACTCTGAGCTCATAGTTTAGACGTTTAAAGTTTTAATAGAAAGCCTTTGAACAAATTCTTTTATGATACACCAAAATATATAAAAGAGATGAAAAAAGGGTGCTCTGGCTATAGGTTATGAAGTAGAAGGGGTCTCTGAGAATTTTGTGGGATACTTCCTAGTCATCGCCATGGAGTTAGGAAAGATGTATAATATACTCCTCAAGCAAGTATTCTGAAATTCCTGCCTTGGTAGACAATTAAGGATATATCTTGCACCAAGAGGTTAATCAGAAATCCTAATTAAGTGGTTCAAAGCAGTATGACCAAAAAAAAAAAAAAGCCATACGAATTATCTAAATGATCTATTGATTACAGCTAATAGGTTTTGATACAGTTTTTCATCTTAATGATACATATCCATGAAATTATTATTTTCTAAATTAAAAAAATACAAGCTTTCTACATAAGAAACTCTTGTTGACACAAAATTCTAGGAGTGGTGGGTACCTGGGTGAGAACATCCTGCGTTGCTCTAGGGCAACAACCAGCAGGGGGCGCTGCTCTCACAGTGAAAGCAGGTGGGAGTTAAAGGAAGCAGACAAACCTGTTAGGTTCCTGTCAGGTCAGGTCTGCAGATGGACACTCGCATTCTGTTTGTTTTTTCAACTATAGTCTGACTTTATGCATTTATTTAAAGGTTTCAAAAGTGCCGAGGAGGCTTTAGGTTGGCGAAAGGGAAATCACACTCAAACTCAAAAAGAAAAAGTGAGAAATCCCAGTGGCATTTTTGAGTGACGACCTACTTATGAGGGACAGACTTCCATCAGCAGGAGCACTAGCAGAAAGAACTCCCTGTGTGAAATTTTAAGATCCTCAAATATGATACTTTAAATCCAGCATAAGAAAAAGAGATTTATCTTTTCAATTTTAACAGTACTGTATTAGGCATAAGATTTTGGTAGAAAATTTGAAGAGCTGATAGCAAAATGTACCACTTACATAAAAGAAAACCCACAGTTATAACTCACTACATCTTGGGAAAAAAGATGAAAGAACAATTTAGTTTTCAAAACAAAATGATCACTATGCAAGACAAGTTTGGAAGAGTATTCTTTCTACAGAATTTCAAAAGACGTCTTTTTAACACACACCAAGCACTGTGCTTACCATGTCAAACCTATGTCAAAGGTAACATTCTCTTTATAGACAGGGATACTCTGGCTCCAAAAAACTATTTTTAATTTTTTTTAAGGTCTCACAGTCAGGAGGGGGCAGAATCGAGCTCTTAACCACCATGGTATCTCAGAGAATAATTTGAGTACATTTGTTAAAGTTATCACTTGACAAAACATGCACTCACAATCTATTTCCTAAGACATTATGTTCCTAAGTTTATTGCCTGCTAATTATTCTTTGTGCTCATGGAGTAATAATCCCGCATCTTCTTATTATCCATCAGTGTAATTTGAACACAGATAGGATGTTTTTCTTCTCTAGGGCAATGAAGAAACATAGAATGATTTACCTACAGGCATTCTACCACTTTCTGTGAGTTCCCTGAAATCACAGCCAGGGGTTTTATGACACAAGATCAGAAGGCACTGTGTAAAGTGATGTTTCCTCTCCTGCTGAGAAACAAATGAGTGCATGCTGGCGGGTCTGACCCCAAACAGTCAGGTTTGTAGAGTCACCACTTAACTCCCTGGGAGAGAAACCTCCCCCAGACAGCAGTGCTACAATGCTTGGCAGCCAAGAGCTGGACAAATTTGTGTTAATCCATTCAGCTACAGTGGCTATCTTCAAACTGCCTCTTTAATCGGTAAGGAGATTGTTAACCACTCTCCTTTAAAAAATCAGATACGATGAATTACTACCAAACTTAAAACTGACGTACAACTTAAAAAAAAGTAATCCCCTAATTTAAAATTATGTAGAGACTACTTCTCAAATATTTATAGTGTACTTACTATATGCCAGGTAATTTTCTGAGCACTTAGAAAGAATAAACCATCGTTACTGCTTTCATTGAAATATGCTCAACTACCTTGTAGATGTTTATTAATTTTGAGTTATTGCTTTAGAAATCTCAAAAATAAAAATAAAGGCCACTGTCTTGGTGCATACATGGAAAATTTTTGGTATTTTACTTTTTTCCTTGAGGTTTCTATTTTCTTTACTTGATACTTAAATACTTAAAGGACATGTTTATAAAAGACTTGAAAAAAAATGATGGAACAGAATAAAATAAAAGAAGCAACGCTGCTACACTGTAGAAAAGGTGGAAAGCCTGAATCCAGATAAAAAGCATCCAATGTTAAATTAGCCATAGCCTGTCCTGCTTTGGCTTCAACATCACAGGTCTCATTTGATTTTTTTTCAGTATAAGAACAAACCACACATCCACACGTGACCCAAGTTACCGACAAAAAATAAGGAAGATGGGAATATTTCCACTGCAGTTTTCACAATGCCATGTCCCACTTCTGGGATATTTGATGGCTCTTTCTTCAGGGACCCCTTGGGTTAAGTCTCTGAATTTCCCTCATATCGTATCAGTGCCATTGTTCCCACTCCCTCTTACCTAACTCTTTTCCTGGTCCCTTGACTGCAATCCATGCCTCCCCACCTTTCCAAGGAGGGGAAGCTCACTTCTGTAAAATAGTTCCAACACAGCACATCTCCTGTGCACAAGCTGATGACGGGGCTTCCCTTCCTGTGCTGCAAGTCCTCCCACGTGGACCAGCACACCTGGCCCGCGACACCTTTCCGCTTTTAACTCTGTCATTTCTTTGTAGGTACCTTGCAAATATCGTGCTACTGTAAAACACGATTACAAAGCTTTATATATACAGATCATCTGCTAAGATAGAGTAATGAGAAAAGCGGAGTATAAAGCAGCGTGCTATTTCGTAACGAAGGGTATGCATGAGACACACACACCTCAGACACAGAATAGCTCTGGACAAGCACATACGGTTAGGGACCAGTGGCCATCCCTAGGGAGGTACCCGGGCAGCCCAGATACAAAGGTAGGAGACCCACTTTGTACCACCTGTACCTTGTCCCTTCTTGTAAGCTAAATATTAATGAGGTGCCTACATTTATTCAAATAAAAATACTAAAAAATTATGACCTTATATGCAAGTTCAATGTTCCTCTTTCAGGCCTTGAACTTATTTGCAAGAATTTTCTACTGCAAGTACTCCCCTTTACTCAGTTACTCATCTCTGTCTAACCAGATGCCACTTCCTTTATAAATACTTCTCTAAACCTCACAATATTTCCTTCAGGAACTATGTCTGACTTTACATACCTGTTTGGTACTGTTGCTTCTAGACATGTTACTTTACTTATTATGTGTAAGCTTTTAGAGGGCAGGGCTTACTCATAATTTTTCAGAAGATAATAACTTGGCTATATTTGTTCAAAATTAATACCACAGGAGTGGAAGATGGAGACAGCTGTAAGCTCTACGCATGCGCAGCGCACACTGTAATTGTTTAGTGGTGTTCTCAGGGCATGCTGAAAGAATGACAAGGATTTCCAGCTATTCACCAGAGGTTTTTGGTTTGTGTTTTCAGGATTAAAAATGCAAAAGTACTTGTTCAACCGGAAGCACTTACTTAATAATTTAAGGCATAAACAACTTATATAGTTGCAAAACCATTTACTCTTCTTTAACTAGTTGTTCAAAGATGTCACAGAAAGGGAAGTATATCAGAGGATTATTATGGGGATGAATGATCAAGAGACAGACATCATTGTGATTTAACATCTGAAGCCAAATAATTCTCAGACACTGCCCACACCAATCACTTCTTCACCACCCTTCTGTGCAGTTGGCCTCTCAGCGTCACCGACACCCGTAATTATCAGGTTTTTTTTCTGTTCTGCTCTTGGCTTCACAACGACTATTTCAAGCAGTGTATAATCATCACCTCTCCTGCTCTGTCTCCCACCTTCAATTACAAACAGTCACCCTAACTTTAAAGTATTTACAGGTCACTGACCTGTATTTATTTTGTTAAATTCTATTTTACCTCGTATTCCTAATAAATATTTATTCTCTCCCAAATATGACATCATAACCATGAAAAAGACATCCTAGGAATTTATATTTTTATCCCAGAAGTTAGGATATTAAAAAAAAACATAATAACAAAACAACAAGCCTTTCCTATTAAGAGTGATTTTTTTTTTGGTCTTAATAGTTTTCACAATTTTTAATGGAAGCAGAATATATATTAACACTGGAAGCTAAGCCAACATAAAATGCTCAATATATAAAACAAAACACTCAGAAAGGAACAAGTTGCAGCTCATCAGGAAACTCTGGACATAATGCTTAGTAAAGGAGACTTTCACGCTCTCAATATTAAGGAAATCATTTGATAATTTCTTTTAGCTAATACAAGTGCAAAGCTTGAATCAGTTTCATCAGTGCCGTTCAAAACGGTAGATTATGGTAAAGGAAAAAAATAGTGACAAAGTGTCTTTTAACTTCTGGAAAATATGTCCACAGCTATCTGGATATAAAATAAAATAATTCAGGATGATTAAGCTAAAAGAGGTTTTGAAAAACAGTTTTACTTACATCTAGGGAGCCTTCGTTTATAACAATCATTCCCATGTTCTTCTTCAAAAGTTTGCAGGAGTGTCCTGTGCACCAACATAGAGTAAATGAGCATAATTACTTTATCCAGAGAAATGAAGATGTTAAAGCAATAATATCATCAAAATGTGTGAAGCAAATTTTATCAGGAGTGATGGTGGTCATTCGTTTTCCAGGTCTACAGGAGGTTTAGAATGAAATCTTTTGCAAATGGAAAAGCAACCAAGAGATGGAGAGGAAGGGGAGGGGACATAAAAAGAATTAAGATGTGTTATGGACAGGTACCGACTCTGCCACAAGGAATATCATCGTCACGCACTGCAATTATACACAAAACTTAAGAAAAAAGGATGAGGAGAGCGAAATAAAGGCGCAAGATATGTCTTGGCAAAACTATCTGGAGGGTTCTTGGTTGTCAGAGGAAGGATATGATACAAACACGTGTAAATACCAAAGAGTTTCTCTGGTGTGAATAAACTGTCATAGTACGTAAGATCCTAATGAGATAATTGACGATGTGAAATGGGAAGAAAAGGGCTAAAGGTGTAGCGAAAGTGGGAAGGGTGGGGGAAAGGGAATAAGGGAAAAAATATGAGAAAATGAAAAAATGGAAATAAACTGTTTGTAAATGGGGAGGGGAGGAGGGGGTGAAAGGAGGGCAGGGACAAGGGGAAAAAATGAGAACCAAGACCTGTCATGTAGAGGTACAAGATCCCAATGATGAATGTAACTGTACTGTATTTCTAAAATGTACCAATAAACTAAATTAAAACAAACAAACAAAGGAATCCTCTGAGGCTGTCTTGATTAACAGCAATGAAACACATTAAGGGTCCTTGCCACCCTCAAAGCTGATAAACATATACGGACACCCTTCCTGATGACCAATATGGACAGCCAAGGTGGGTCAGTGGTTGTTTCTAGAGATGTGTGTGTGTGTGTGTGTGTGTGTGTGTGCGTGTGTGTAGGGGGGCAGGATTTCTACTGCTTGGATCCTATGATCCTTCACTATTCCCTGCCCTGAAAGGTCATGACATCCTCTCCTCTCCTTGTCTTCATTCTCTTGCTTTGTTGCACTCACTGCATGGCAAAAATCTCTCTTTTGTTCAATACAACTCTGCTTTTCTCTACCAGCTTGCTAAAGCTGAATATGGCTAGAGAAAAACCGGTGCGCCTGCTGACTGGACTGAAAAGCATAACCATCCATACTCCCTTCCTTTGTGATCCCACTGCTTCTCATGGCTTTAACCGTTATCTAAGTGTTTATCATTCTGGATTCCCTCTCTCTTTCTCTCTGTAAGAGATTTAACCCAGGGCCTCACCCTTAATAACCAGATGCTCTGCCACTGAATTATGTCACCTTCCCTAAGTGTTTACCACTCTGAGACTCATCTCCTGCTCAGATCCCTCTCCTAAACTCCAGATTTTCATAACCAACTACCTCCCTAACAGCTGATACCTGGGTAGGAAGTAAGCATTTCATACTCAGTCTATCCAAAAGCCAGGCTCCTGATCCCCCTCCCAGAAAACCTAGTATAATTCAGCCTTCCTCATCTTGGTTAATGGCACCTCAACCTTGCAGTTGTTAAGGCCAAAAGCCTTGGAGCTACCGGTGATTCCTTTTTTCCTCTTTTATCCTACATTAAATCTATTAAGTCAATCCTGTTGGGTTCAAGAAGAACCCAGCTACTTTTCACCCTTACACCTGGTCTCGGCCGCAGCACACCTCCCGGGATCAATGCAACCCACCCTCAGGCCCCCTTGCTCTTCACTGCCTTTACTTCAAGTCCTGTCTCAGCCTGGTAGCCAGAGTGACGTTTCCACGGGAGTCAGATCACGTCTTTCCTTTGCTGAGAATCATTCAATGCTTTCCCCGTTCGCTCAGAGTAAATGCAAAGTTTGCACAGGGCCAGTGCGGCCCACCCTGACTGGCTCTCACACTCCTGCGCATGTGCACTTTCTCTGCAACATAACATAGCTCTGCCCTTATCACCCTGTTATGAGCCCCTCTCCTCTTTCAGGTCACCCCTCAAATGTTACTTTCTCCACGAACTCTTCCTGACCACCTTATGGAAAACCGAATCCCTCTGCCCAGTGTTGATCCCCTATTTTATTTTATTTTTTTTAACAGCAATCATTGCCAGCAAATATACGCCACACTTTTCTCATTTGCTTTATCGTATGTTTCCCTAAAGGACGGAGATTTTGGTTTCTTTTGCTTCCTGCCGTATTCACGGCACTTACCTGGAATCTAGCTTTGGCGACACTACAGCCATTTGCTCCCTCCTTCTTAGGAATGAGCATGGTCTAAGATTCTAAAGGTTAAATGTTACCAGAAACCACCGTACCTCTTTCTCCATAGGAACATTAATAATGATTACAAATCCTACATCATTTATACTTCTGATTCCGTCTCCTTACACATCACTGCTCACTGCCACACGTTCTCCATTTGTAGTCTCATCATTTACCTGTGTGTTCAGGTCTCCCAACCCTAATGCATTCTGCATTTCACCATAATTCCCTTCTCATACATCTTCTTTCCATTTGGTTACTAACACTACTGATAACTTTTATGATCAAAATTAACAAATCGAGTAGCGTGTAAATTTAATGGCTTACAGTTTGTTTTAAAATCAAATTAATTTTTAAGATAATCACCCTCCTATGATTTCCCCCCTGCGTGTTAATAAATTTGTCATTTTTCTAAAATAAATTAACTTTCTATTAATATCAATTTACTATGCATTTGTAGCACAGTTTTATATTTACTAGTATTTATATATCCTGTAAGTACTTATAGGACACTTTAGGCTGACTTCTAACATTGTTTTAAAGGATTATTAGCTGAATTTATTTAAAGAATACTTAAAGTGACTTTGCAAAAATGTGGTTTCTTGTTGTAAACATTCCTAAAATGGTTTCTTCAATTTTGCGGGAAGTTTTTATACAACATACAGCCTGACTATCAGGCAGTTAAAGTTGTGCTCATGTTGTCTACTATTACCCAATGTAGAAGAGCAAATTTGGAACATTATTAGTGCTACAGGCTTGCAATACCAATTATGAACTTTGTTTTCAGTAAGATTTCTGTTATAGACTGAATTGTGTCTATCCCACCCTCAACTCCATATGCCAAGGCCCTCACCTGCGATGTGACACAGGGTCTTGAAGATGAGGTCATAAGGGTGGGGCCTGCTATCATCTGAATGCTTATGTCTCCCCCAAATTTGTGTGTTGATCTCTTATTACCAATGTGACATAACAGGAAGCAGAGGTTTTGGGAGGTGACTGGACACTGCTGTCACAGGATTTGTGCCTTTACAAAAGAGGCCTCAGGAACTGCCTTGTCCCATCTACCACAGAAGGACACAATTAGAAACTACCATCTGTGAACCAAAAAGCAGGTTCAATCAAAGACTTCAGCAAACATCAAATTTGCTGGTGCCTTGACCTTGGATTTCCCAGCTTCCCACTATCAGCCACAGGCTTATTTTGTTACACGGCACTAAGGGACTAAGACAGGGTCCTGATGCAATACGACTGGTACCCTAACAACAGTCTCCAGGAATGCATGCTCACAGAGGAAAGGCCATGTGAAGGCGTGGCAAGAAGGCAGCTGTCTTTAGCCAGGGCTCACCAGAAACAACTCTTCAAGAACTCTGACCTTGAATGTTTCATCTGTAGAAATATGAAAAAATAAATTTCTGTTGTTTAAGCTACCCAGTCTGTAATATTCTGTTATGCAGTCTAAATTAACTAATAGACACTCTTTCTGAAAACTGGAATTGACTCTAGGATGAATGAAAACGGGCAGCCTTTTTCCTTCCTCTGAAAAAAAACAACCTTTAATCATATGAACAAGAGTCAATACACACGTGCAGCGTCACAGGCCCTGTGTCCGAATTTTCAGACAACTGCAGAAATGTTAGCTACCTGCGCCACTTATGCATGAACTGTGTGGAGACAGGGATGCAAGGTGAGAGCCTGGCTGTACACAAAACCACTGCCACTCAAAGGGCACTGAGGGCATTAGTAAATAGATATGTTTGATAACATTATAAATCTAGAATCATGAAATATCAAACCTTAAAAAGCCTCAAATCCATCTATTAAAATCTATCAACCCATGAAGAAGCACAAAGAGCTAAAACTTGACTTAAGTGAATCACCAATGTTAATGGCAGTTTCTTGTTTGTCTCCTGTCAGGATCCAGATTTTGATGTCTGCTTTCATTAGAGTTTCTATGGTTTCAGGCACTTGATCTTGTAATTTATCCTCAATAGCTGTAGCTCCAAGTAGCTGAAGATTCTGGAGGAAATAAATGGTAAAATGTTTAAGAATAAACATCCAGATTCTTTAGGAACAAAAATATTGAAGTATGCATTTGTTTTAAAGTCAGAGACTTACTGATAATTCATTGATTTTGGTATAAATTCCTGCTATCCCACTACATTTTTTCTCTTGAGAATCCTTTACTTTCGTCCAGTATTTTTTTGTGTGAGTCTAGGCTCCCTAAAGCTATCTTACTTTATGTTTCCCCAAGCTAAAGAATGGATTAAATACACACACACACACACACACACACACACACACACACACAAAAGGGAGAAATAAAAAGTCAGTTAAAAGGGAGCAGGCAGCGACTAAGAAAAACATAATATAAAACAAAATAATAGAAGATTAGCACAGTGAAGAAGCAATCTTGTTGACCCTTTTAAAAAAAGGTAAGGATATATGCTAATACTATTAAGTTATACTTTAATGCTGTGTCAGAGAATGGATACACGTGAGACAATTATAAATAATGAGGCAGAGAGCAATAAACAAAGTGACAGCATTATTCTCTGTAGGAAAGAACATGAGGAGTCTTTTTCACACTGTTCCCCATTTGCAACGGAAGGTCAGAGTATCACAGCTCTGTTGCTCATTAGATAGTATCTTTTCCATAAGAATGAATCCACTCACTGAAGGGTATTAAAGTAGGTAGATATACTTAAAAACTGGCTCCTCTCTAACCCCTGCGAATGTTGGTATTTTGATTTTTTCCTAGATGACAAAATCTTAGCTAGATCTTTTGGATAACTTGCTGAGATTTCTCCATCAGTACTTATTACTTCACCTTGCACTTTTTGTTATGGAGATGGAATCTTTCCTTAAACACCATGAAGCAATCTCTGCATGCTTCATATTTTCTTTGTTCGCCTCTCTTATTCCCCACAGAACTAAAGAAAGTGGGGTTAGCTCTGGATTAGGATTTGGTTCAAGGGCCAGTTGTAGCTGGTTTGATCTTCTATCCAGACCATTAAAACTCTGTCATATCAGCAATAAGATGGTTTCACTTTCTTATCACTTGTGTTCACCACAGAAGCAGTTTTAACTTCCTTCAAGATCTCTTCTTCTGCATTCTAGCTGTTGCAAAGACTGAGCTTTTTAGTTTATCTTATCTTTAGATGTGTCTTCTCACTAAGCTTAATCATTTCTAGCTTTTGATTTAAAGTGAAAGACAAAAAACTTTTCCTTCCACATAAAACACTTAGAACCTGTGGGTTTATTAATATTGTTGGATCTCAGAGAAGAGGGAGGCCTGTGGAGGAGCGTGATGGAGAAATGGCTGGTGGGCAGGGCAGTCAGAATGCACTCAACAGCGAGCTGACTCTCTCATACAGGCATGGATCTTGGCCCACTAATATAGTTACAATAATAATATCCAAGATTGCTGACTACAGATTAGCATAAGAAATATAAAGATGAAATAGCTTGAAATATCCCAGGAAGGTAGCACACAGACATGAAATGAGAACACAGCGTAGGCAAGATGGCTACAATAGACTTGCTCTCCACACACCATCTTGGTCCAATAAGTGTGTGTGCGCGCGCGCGTGTGTGTGTGTGGTTTATATCTGTATTAGTAACAGAAACACCTGCATGTAATTATTAGAGAAATCTACTAATGTCAAGGTGAAGGTTTAGTTTTCCCTACAAAGCAGGACTGAAACAGGCAGTGGTGAACATTAGGTTTCTGGCTCAGTCATGTCTCACTCTCTCAGTGTCTCAGAATGGTTGCCACTGGTATAATTATAAACCATGTTGAGAGTGAGAATAAGGAGATAATACAAACTGGATCTGTCTCTTATCTGAAAAGCAAAAGTATTTCTGAAAGCTCTTGGCATGTTTCCCAACATGACCAGTCGGCCAGACTACGTCTCGTGTTACATGGCCACCCCTAACTATGAGCATTTAGCTTTCCCAGCCTCCACAGTGGAGAAGTCAGCGAAGGAGGAGAATGGGAATGAACATTAAATTAGACGGGAACAGTCTCTGCCACATGGGCATACAGATAGGCAGGCATAGGCTAGGTGTTTGTATGCATGTATCTATAGATCTATATGTATAGATTTTCCCATGCATCCCTCACTGCCTTGCCTAGTGAAAGCTGCCTCATCCTGTAAAGCCAAATTCAAAAGTTACTGCTTCTTTTTCTGCCTCTCTTCCTTTTGCTTGCTGTGCTGTGGACTGAACCCAGAACTGTGCGCACAATAGGCAAGTGTTCCAACATGGTGCTACAGACCTAGTTCTCCTGTACTTCTTAAAACAAAAATTTTCCCTCCTATTATGCTCAGAAAGAGGTTTCCTTATCTTTCTACATCTTAACTTACAATATAGGTTGAACAAACTTGAACATCTGAAAACCAGAATGTTCTAAAATTGCAAACATTTACAGCATGGACATGGCATCATAGTGGAAAATTCCAAACCTAACCTTCATGCGACAGGTGGTAGTAAAAACATAGGTACAATAAAATATGAATATTTATGATATTAAATTACCTTCAGGCTATATGAATAACGTGAATTTTGTGTTTAGACTTGGGTCCCATTCCTAAGGTATCTCATTATGTACAGAATAAAATCCAAAAATCTAACATAATTCATGAAACACTTCTGGTCCCAAGCATTTCAGATAAGGAATATTCAACTTGACTCAAGATTAGCTGTTTAAAATGTGTGACTCCAGTAAGTTCGCTAAAAAATAGGGACAAATATTGTTCATCTTCATTATCTCCATAGTACTGAGTCAGTATTCAGTATTATTTACTGAGTGAGATAATGACAACTGAGCAAAACCAAAATCTAAAATTCAAATATTATAAAATATTGCTGTAATCTAGGCCATTTTCTTTTCAATACATTCCAAATAATATGAACAGCTATTAGATACACTTGATGCATGACTTCTTAGTATATAATATATAAAACAGCAAGGGAAATTTCCTTCAGGAAGAGAGTATTATTTTATTACCTTTAATGGGAAACAGATTTGAAATCTATCATAACCTGATGTATAATTATCATCAAGAAGTTCAAGGAAAAAAAAGGAAGAACAGGTCAGCGTTAACTATATCAGTATCACAACGGCTGTATTTCAACATTTAGACAGTGGTCCCATCAGTTCTTTCAGCTACTTTCAGGATATTTGCAGTTACATCATTCTGGCTCACATCCCAGAGAGGATCAGGATGTAGCTGTGTTCGAATTTAAAGTATTGTATGGAAGGCATGATATGGTTTTATAATGATCATGGAACTAGTTTAGAAATTCAAACCCTCAAAATTTCCTAAACTAAAAAGAATTTTTAATAGTATATTTTACAAAACACTGGGGTAATTAGATAATATAAAAGGCAAAAAATATTTAGAAATACAAAAACATATCCATGTATTTTCTTACTCTAGGGGAGAAATGACTCAGAAAGTATATAGATATACCTTACTGTACACAAATTTATAAAAATAAAATGACTTTGCTAGACAGAGAATGTTGAAATTGTATTTAAAAGAAGGAAAGCATCTGATTTTTGTATAGGTAAAACCAAGCAAATAATATACATATAAAGGACCAAAGACACAGGGCCAACAAGGTATACAAAGAAAACTATTAAGCAGGTTAACAGAGAATGTGTTGGTGGCTATGATAACAGGAATTTCTAAAAAGTTCTGAATATTGAGCAAGGTCACAATGGGCCTACTTAATGCATATAAAGGAAGCACTGTGCTTCAAGAGTCACCTTATTTTTCTTTTATCCTAAGAGCTCTTTGAGAGCAGCACTTATTAATTTTAGTGGAAGGTCCTGTGGACTCCTTTCCTTTTAACCTAGTGTCATTTATTGTGAGATTACAATCTTGAGTGAGAGGCTGTTCTGCCTTTGGAAATTAATATCTTTAGCTACACAGAGATCATTAGGAAAAAAGATGTGAACTTTGCGTGCTTTTCCTGATCATAACATTCAGAGTGCTTGGGATGTAATCAATTTCATCCCAAATATGTATTACCTTACCCAGATGGCCACTAATGGGCACTATGGGAATCACAAACTCAGAAAGTGTTGAAACATGATAAAATTCCCATGGCATTTATGGAATTAAAAAAAAACCCAAACACCAATTTTACTTTCCAAATGTCACGAAGTCAAAAGTTACAAAGGTTTCAGGCTGATGACTCTCTGACACAATACAGATTTTGTTATCACTAAAAAATCATGAAATAATATTTATTCACCCAGTAAAGCCTCTGATAATATTCTGTTCTCTTTCAGAGGTTTCCAACATATGCAGAAAATACTTAAATGTAAAATTTCTACCTTAGGGAAGAGAAAAAATTTCACGTAGCATATAGTAAAACATCACAGAATTTATAAAATGTATTATGATAGATTTATAAATTGTGTTCCTTCTTCCAATACATGTGTACTTTGCAAAGTACCAGAACCTCAAAGTGATCTATATTTCCATATTAGCAAAAATTTTGTCAATGCAAAATACTTAAATGTAAAATTTCTACCTTAGGGAAGAGAAAAAATTTCACGTAGCATATAGTAAAACATCACAGAATTTATAAAATGTATTATGATAGATTTATAAATTGTGTTCCTTCTTCCAATACATGTGTACTTTGCAAAGTACCAGAACCTCAAAGTGATCTATATTTCCATATTAGCAAAAATTTTGTCAATGCGCATAAATCCCCAGCCTGATGATACCATATTTTTAAAAAGTTTGTGCTATGCTTCTAAATGATAAGAGCATAAGAAACTCATTCATTCAAGCTTCAGACTATCACATGGGCTATTAGGCAGGAGTTTCTTTAAAGACAAAGATAGATATTGGTATGAGAAATTTAGCTATTGGAGTAAAAAGTGGATAAATAGTGGTAACATATAGCAACTTTCATTTGAATGTGAAATAAAATTATGAAGGAAGTTTAAGAAGCAACTAACATCTCCTGGGCAGAGAAAAGATATGACATTGCTA